ACCGCCCTCCGGCCCGCGGGCGCTTCCGCTTCCGGCCCTCTCACTGTCGTCACCAGAGCCTCTTAAAGGTCCCGCGCCACCCCTCCCCGCCATAACCGTCAGCACAAGTGCTGTGGTAGAGAGGGCCCCGTGGAAGCACCTACGGTACGCAGAGAGAAAAAGCCGATTTCTTAAGGGCAGGTATGTTTATTTCATGAATACACCACGGCCTGCCACAGGGTAGATACGGAACGTTGTATGCCACTGGGTTTCAATGCTGCAGCTCCGGACAAGACACAGCCACGGAGTTGTGTGCCAGAAGCGCGGAAATCGGTACATTTAGCAGAGCCACTTACCGCAGGGAACACAGAATTCATGAAAACGTGTTGAGCGTTTCTAATTTTAATTCTTAGTATTTTCAGAACTTCTGCTAGTACTTATTTTCATTAACACACGTTACAGCAGTTAGCTATATATATACACGCTATATTTTTGGAGCATTTCTTGTGATCTTTGCAGTACTTTGCTGTCAACCTCCGTAATCCCGTAAAGTGTAGAGGTGCTGTATACCAGGTACAGTTTAGACAGTAGCTTTTAATCACTGTAATTAAATATTCAACAAATATTTATCACATAACTCCCACTAGCAAAAAGGTTTCCCCCAAAATTGTTTTGCTAATGTAAGAATATACCAAAACACCAATCACACAGATGTTTAGAGCAACAGTTTAAAACAAGGTAATTCACATACCGAACCACAAAGTATCACTGCTGTTTAAAATGTACAAGTACTGTTTAATGACCTGAACAGAAAAAAGCACGATATAAAACTCACTATCGTCACTCCTCTATCCAACTGCAGCTTATGGCTAACCGTACAGGGTTTAAAGGAAGAGTGGATTATTTTATAAATAATGTTTTGATAGCATTTGACAATTTAAAAAAAGTACTGTCATTGTGTATTTTGCTACTATAAGTATAATACTAATATGTTGTGTTTCAGTCCTTAGTTTTGCAGAACCAGTAGCGTTTGCTCACAAGCAAGCCAATGCGTGTAGGCATGTCTTTGCAGTCCCCTCGGAGGTGACAACATTGTGACACATTCAGCTTTGGATGAAAGTATGCAGCTGCGTATACAAGTTATGTCCTAAGACACCGTGACTTGTAAGGAGAACTGCGGGGTTTTACAGCATACATAAATCAATTATTTTAAATTGCCTCAAGATAACAACATACTGTATTTTATGTAATCTCATGTGAGCTTTAGAAAATCATAAAAGCACAAAGAGTTGCATTTTTATAGCATAATATGTAGAACGGTGACTTAGCCCTCACTGGCCTCAAAGCAGCACCACACAGATGATGGTCCCTGTCTCTGGGCAAGGAAGAGTCACTTATTTTTAACTGCAAAAGTGACAGAATGATATTGTTGAGCTCAGAGAATTACTGTTCTCCTGTTTTCTTTGAAAGTAAGATTTTAAAAATACAGCAGTAAGTCTAGTAGATGGGGATGATGCTGAGCAGACAACCCAATCACGTAAGATGACTTTCTCCTTCTCTGATGTTGTAAGATGGGTGCCGATTCCCTCACTCAGGTCTTGCCATAGGACAAGAAAGGCCTTCTAACGCGTGAAAGAGGAGAGCGGGACAAGCCAACTCCAATATATCGTCTGCAACTGGTAAAGACTGTTTTGTATCTCAAAACCAAAGGGGAATTTGTTTTCCAGAATTGAGGGAAAACTTGTTGTATCAGTTGTTTCGAATTTGTGGGAAAAAGTATCTTTAAAATAGTAATGAATAAACGGATGATACGGAACAATTATTCTGAAGTAATGCTAGTGATTATATGTCACAATAAGATTTAATAGCTGAAATGTACTGACACAGAAAATTAAAGTCAAATATTGAATATATTAATATGCAAAGTTTTGTTTGTATTCTGAAATTAACCTATTTTTGTTGTGCCTCAAATTCAAATATAAGCCTTACAAATATCCTTACCCTCTGTTATAAATTAAACAACTTCTAAACAATACTTGTCAACATTCAAATCTCAATAAACTTTGGCAGCTCTTTGGTAAATACTTATAAATATCAGTTAACAAAACAGTAAAAAGGGAGTGGGGAGGCTACCAGCAGGGAGCCTCTATTTTTGAAATTCCACAAAGGGGAACAGAAATGAGAGAGCTCCCTAAGCAAGAACTATTTCCAAGATTGATATATTTTAATGAGATTAGTAGCTCATCCTTCTTTTCTCTAGTCTATTCAAATAATATTACATCGGGATTTTAATAGATTTCAGACAATTTTTTGTGCTCTACCATATATACATATTCCAAATTTACACACAAACAATAGTGGCTGTTTATGAGTAGAGTTAAGTTTCAGTGCATTTGACAATTAGTTATTGCACACAGAATAATCTCAAATGCCCAATTACTCTACTGGACAAATGCAGTAACAAATATAACCTCTTATATTTTTGAACATCTATCTTTCTGTAAAATCTTGCGTTGGTGACACCTTAGGTGCCAAAGAAGTGAAAGGATCTGCAGGGGATCTGTTGCTGGTTATTCTTGATGGTATAGGAGGTGCAGGTGGTCTTCTTGCTGGCATTGTATAGAAGCAATCAGTAGAACTTTTATTCCAGTCATTATCAAAGTTAAAGTCTGAACCAAGAAAAGTATTTTGTTCAGTGCCCAGCAAATCTGGAGATCCAGCTGACCTTCTGGAACTGATTTGCTTAAAATCTGGAACACTTTTAGATGGCTTTAGCTTTACATTGAAATTCTCCTCCTCCTCATCAAATGTTACCCATCCTTTTGGCTGTACACTTTTTACCATGAGAGAGTTACTTCGCAAGCAAAAACTGTTTTCAGATGGATCAACAGAAAATACAGGCTTGCTTGTATTACAGTTGGGGCGATTTAGAGAAGGGAAAGGATTGCAAGTGGCACGTCCTTCTAGTAAAAGTGAAGTTATTTCAGACTCTTGTGTTTCTGTTCTAAACGGGTTTCCAGCATTAGGAGTTCTTTCAGTGAATGGATATGTGCAGTTCAGTCCAGTAATAAATGGATTTGGAGAGCTGCACTTATGTTCCTGGGATGTGTTAAAGGTTGGAATAGGAGGCATTGCTGGCATGCAATTTACAGTATTCAAAATATCAGCATTTCTTTGTGTTGCTGAAGGCAACTGTATAAACTCCTTTTGGTTTAAAGTCGGAACAGGTGATGTTCGAACAGATGTCTGCATCTTTGACACTAGCAGCTTAAATGACAAATCTTCAAAAGGGTCACTGTTTAACTGTGTTTCAAGTTTAGTGCCGTACGTTCCATTTGTTTTAATCTGGAAAGAAAACAAGGTGCTTAGTAATCACATGGCTGGCTGTTTAAGATTATTACTAACTCCCCATTTCTCACTCCTCTATGAGAAGAAAAAAAGCTCTTGGGCTTAAACTGAACCTTCAATACAATTTGGTTGTAACTTGCACAATGCACTTGTAGTAGAATGATTGCTTCTTTTCTGGAAAATAATAACCCTTACCCCTTCTCTGAAGAAAAGCCTACTAGTCATTAAACACAATTTTCCCCCTTGTTGGTTGATGCAGCTTCGTTAATCTATTTCATGCATGTCAGAATGCTAGCCAAAAGGGCTAGTAGGCATTGTATAAGAAAATCTTTAAGAAACTTGGGAAATGATACTGTATTCTAAACAAGTGATAACCCAGCACAAATAAGAAATAAAAAGCTCCAGGTTTCATTGTTTGAGAGTTTATAACACTGATGTTACAAGCAATATTTAAGCATCACAATGAAAGGAAATATTAGTGGTGTTAGTATATGCACTTCAGACATTTCTATGTAGACATATGCATCTGTAGACATCTCCAGTGCTTCTTGACATGTGAAGGTATGATCAGCAGTTTGTAATATTTTTAAATGGCAAGTTATCATTGTTTAGAATAATACCAAATGGAGAAGACAGTTTTCTCCACAGAACTCCTCATCTTTTAAAAACAAAATATTCCTGTTTTTATAAATTTCTTCAAACAACAATGTAACTTTTATACCTTGTAACAACTGGCCAAAAAGGTAGAATATCTACCTTTGTTTATGTCATCACACTGACACAACAGAGTTTGGAGCTTCCCCTTACTAAATGAATGCAAAGAGTTAAGCTTAAGTTAAAACAGCTTCTGAGGATTCAAATTTCGCAAACAATTTTGTCATTTTAACACATCGCCTTAATACACCCAAATAGTTTGGATATTTAGCATGAAAATTCTGTTTACTAATGTTTTGTTGAACTAGGATGCCAGCTAAAACTATCAACTAAAATACAATACTATTACAGCCTAACCTCAATCTTTAAACATCTTAGTTTTACTGCATTTACTATGAATAGTTTGAAGCATGTCTCCACATAGCCACTGCGTAAGCAGCTATGCAAAATTAGTCTACAGGCTTTAGAGACTCTCAGGAATAATAATAATATTCTAAGTTTTTCCCAATGTATCCTGCACAGCAATTTCTTTTAAAAAATTGCAGTTGTAGCTTGAATTGGTTGGCAGGAGAAACGAAGTATGCTGGCAACAATGCATTTGCTCTGGAGGTTTTTTTGAAACCACAATGTTGGTTACATGCATCCCTGGTACTACTACATCACAGAGTTTCTAAAATAGATGAGGCCTAATGTTACCAAACCATAAATACAGTAGTTCAATATTGGTATTTTTATATGTATATAGTAAGTGTTTTGGAAAATAATATTAAAAAAAAGGCATCAAGTAACTGAGGGGGGAAATGTGAAAAATTGAACTGTAGAAAGAATATAAATCAAATGCTGCCTGGCACCAGCTGGTTAAGTGCTGTGTTGACTAACCGAGTAATCAAAAAGTACAAGATCCCAAAGAAACTATGAATCCCAATTGCTCTTCATTGTAAGTAAAATTTTGCTCTGAATAATTCTGGAACCAAATGCTTTTAAAATTGTAACAAATAGTGTATTTTAATTTCGGTAATGGTAAGTTCCCTGTTCTTTGAGAAATGTTAAGTATGGGTTTTATTTTGAAAAAACTTTGGCAGTGCAATTGCATCAGGATTTATTTGTATTAAAGAGAAATGTTAACTCTAACACCTACTCATTTTTTTCCCCAAGTAGACTGAGACCAGGAGATTCAGCAGTGACTAAGCAACACATGTGAGGTTCCAGTTGTTTCATAAAAGATGACAAAACAAAATATTTGCTATGGTGCTAATAAACACAATTAACAGTATCCATTTTAATTGCATTATGAAAAGAAAAAGCAAACTATAGTATGACAGTCAATTCATTAATGTGGACAGGTGATTTTTAATGTGGATGGGACTGCCAGATGTATGAAAACAAGATTCATACATCTTTTCTGCTTGAATAGATGGAGACCACATAGAAGATTGGTAAATAGTCAGATACCTGTTACCCTGATGGTTGCTCCTGCTTGTGAAAGAGAAACAGACATCAAAGGAAAGAAAGTTAGGAAGAAAATCCAAGTAACAAAGCAACCTCACGTTAAAAATACTGTAAGTTTTCACAAAGCCATTCTTTTGAGACATGAATACAAACCAAAAGTATTTATTACACACTATACTAAATTTCAAATTGCTGTTGTATTCTATTGTAAGACTTAGAAGCTCTACCATTAAAAGTCAAAAAAACCAGCTCAAGCCAATTCTAATGTTATTTCCATACAGACATTAATTGTGCAGCTGATTGCGCTATTTTTTTGAAGACTGATTATAAGAATTTGACTATTGATGGCCTAATTCTAACCATCTATTAACATGAAAAGCATTATAGCCCTCATTCTGGGAATTGTGTTGGTATAATCACTCAACTATAGTAATAGTTTTTCAAGCTGAAAAAAAACCCGTAAGACTTCTCATTCAATCAAAAAAAGAATCCTTAATTTACAATAAGTAATATCTATTTAGAATAACTAATTTTCTTTTTTAATGTATTGCTTCGTAATCTATAGAGTCCTGAATATTCACACTGTATACAAGCAATTATTTTTATAAGAAGAGATTTAGTTTCTTAAATATCACAATCGAACTTTGACTCATAGGATGGGCTTGGTATCCACTAGCTCTCAAAAGACTTTGTATTTATTTAAAGACCCTTTCTCAGAAAACTTCATATTTACAAATGAAAATCAAGAAATAAAATTTAAAAAAAAAAAGGAAAAAATGGAAATAAAAGCTGGAGACAATAAATGAAGCTCAAAGTGGGTCTTCCCTGTGATTGCACAGCCTGCGTTAATCAAAGAAATCTGATTGCAGACAAAATTATAGCTCCCTGAATGAGTCTTAAACTATCTGGTTTGGATATTGGTAACAATATAGCCACAGCATTACACAGCTCAAAAACCTGTTTACAGTGTTTTTAAGCATATTTTTGATTGTTGTGTATACACAGAGATAAATGTAGTTTTCATAATAATTTTGAAAGAACTGCTTGCACCTCTTTCACAAAATGATCACAAAATGATGTAGTGGTAAATCTGCATTTAGAACGTGTGAGGCTTTCAAAAGTGACACAATGCAATCTGTTTCTATTCACAAAATTGGTGCATTCTCAAGTACCTTATCCCTCCATGTGTATTCTCTGCTGGCAACACTTCATACTTTCTAACACACTACAGGAAATCCTGATATTCTACCTGTATATTCAAAAATATCCTCCGTTTTTTTGCCTAAGTTTCCAAAATGAAAAAAAGTTAACAGGCAGAGAGAGAGTTTTTTTCAGCAGAAAGAAAGGAACAGCATTTAAAGATTTTTCAATTAGAATTCAAAATCAACTCACTGAGGACTGAATTTGGCTGCTTCATTGTGGTACAAAATAGATATTAACTAACTGCCTTAGTGAAAGTGGGCTTCAGATATAGAGATAAGGTAAAATCTAAAATACTGATGAAAACTTACGTAGTCATAAACATCAACAGCTGAGTTTGTTGAAAAAAAAAAACAAACAACAAAACCACACACCAGAAAACAAAACCACAAATTTACTCTTGGTAAGAAGTGGGCACAAATCCATCAGCTTCAATAAATTTGTGCTTTTATTCAAGTAGTGTATTATCTGGCCTAGCACCTGATACTGTAAAAACTAACAGCACTGGCCTTTAGTGAAGAAGTTTAGCCTTATACATATATAAACAACACTGAAAACCTACTTCTGCATTTTTTAAGCAGTAGTAAGAAACTATAGCTTTTCCTAGAAAAAGAGTTTTTTGTGAAAATAACACTCTAAATGGTCCCACAGACCACAATATTAATGTTACTATATTAAATTTTCAGATTATTTTGGTATGCTTCTATATTTTAATTGACACTGGGGAATGGGGAGAAATGTATTTCTATAAAGTATCTATCAGTATCATCTTCCTGCAATGAATTATCATCAACATAAAGCACCACATCATGCAATCTATAAAGCTTACTTTATAATCAGAACCTGTGTTAGCTAGTTACTATACAACTCAAGTCAGGTATGTCATTGTAAAATTAAATTTCTTAGATTGAGTATTTTTCCATACAAAATTGTCAAATGACAACATAATTTTAAGAACAAGCTGTCCGTAAGTTGCCATAAGAAATCTTAAGTTAAATGTTTAGTATTTAAGATGTTAGTTATTCATGGGCAATACACAAGCAATTAAGTATTAGCCTACTAGAGCCTGATGATCTTTGAATCCAATCTTTTGACCTTTATGTTCATTTGTTTGCTTGCTTTAGGAATGCTATAGCATTTAGTACAAGCTGTGTTAATTTACATAATGAAAAAAGTATATACAAGGGCTTTTTACTTACTTGCTGCTGTGAAGGAGCAGATTCGGAAGGCAAACTGTGAGATGATCGGCTACGAGGAGGCGGTTGTGGGGGTTCCAGACTTTGTGGGGCACTTGTCTGAGATGGATGTGATGCCACAGGTATCAGAGGCTCCTGCATCCTTAGCACAGGCAGTGGCTGAGTAGTGGGCTGAGCAGGTCCAGCAGCCTGAGGCTTTAGTGGTTCCGGAAGCAACGGTGAGCCTGCAAGTATATTTGCAGGGTTTTTCATTGCAAAGAATTGTAATAGAAATCTTAAGAACAGCATGAATGAGAACACGTGAAAGCACCAGACAGAACTGCAGAAGAAGGGGCTGTAAGAACAGCAGGTGTTCATGGCAACTAGATTAGAAGTCATCAAACGCTTAGCAGCATATCTCCAGAACCAGAAACCACATCGTTCTTAAATGTACCTCAGATGTATTTAAAAGTATTTTGGAAGTCACTATTATAAGATGCATATTTTGATATTAATACAATTTCAAAAAACCTTTATCTTTAAGTTTAGGAAGTGGCTTTGAGAGTCAAACATAAATGCTATTCCAAATATTCTGATTACAGAGCAACCAGTGCAGAAAATGATCCAGTGATCAACACACACGACAGGGCACACTAATGGGCACAGATCAAAACATAGCTATCTGATCAAAGTTTCTCCTGATAGCATGAAACCTACGTGTCTAGATCTCATGTGACTGCTGCTTATTATCTGATAAGGGTTTACAGTACTTGTGGATGGTTAACAGAAACTGCCAAACATTACTGCATTTGAGAATCTTAATTTCTAGTGAAAAACAAAGACATCTGTTGAAAACAAAGCATTCAAACAGACAGTACCTCTTGACTGAATGGTGACATTTATATTTAACTTCCAGTAAACTTACTCCTTGGTGGTTCAGCTGGTTTGGTCTGAGTTTCAGGTCTTCCCCCAGAGGGACGGACATGGCTTTGCGGTGCACTAATAACTCCAGCTCGAGGTGGAACAGTCTGACATAATAATTGGTAAAAAGAAAGTACTTTAGTTCTACTTTGCATCTGTAGTCATCCACTGCTAAATGGTTCAGGATAATTACGACTCTGTGAAAAATAAATTCTTTGATAACAGTTGCTGAACTAATTTTTATGCACATGTGAAAGCAAAGAATATATTCTCAAAACTTTGAGTGTTCAACTCAATGCAAAGTATTTTTACAAGTCTTCAACTTTATATAAATATTTACCTGTGCAACAATGTTAGAAACACTTATTATTTTGTTAGTGTTATAATTTTACCTAAGTCTGTGAATTGTTGTAAGCAACAAAAACGACAACAGCAACTACTATATTTGGAGATCTCATACAGACACATTGATAACCCACCATAAATGCCGACTGCAGACACGATCTACCTTTTAGGCTATAATTATAGCCTGCCATTTGCAAACAGCAGCCACAGTCAATTTTATACAGTGAGAGTCCAAGATACGCATAAAAGACCATGGTTAGTCCTTTTCTCTGAAACTTATGTTTGCTAACTGTAAGGCAGTTACTCCTGTTCCTCAGCACACAGTATTAATGAAAGATACATTCTGCCTCATCTGAAGACTGGGATCTTCCCAAATTTGTTGGAATAGAAGTTAATATGCTAGGAATGGAATTGCTCTCATAAAACAAAATTAAGAAGTCTACATCAGTATTTAAAGAGAAATAGGAAACTATTTCAGATTGCAACTGAAGCCGAGTGAATTACAAACACCATCCTTGAAAGCTGAATGCAAAGCATTAGAATAAAAATGTTAGATTTCAGGGTGGGGAAAAAAAAGATCATGAAACAAGGTAGTTTGTAAGATTTGTTTCCTCTAAAATTTTGTGTACTTGGTATATTCTGACAATATCTTAGTAATGTAGTGGATGTTCTACAACTGGTTTTCAGAGCAAACCCTATTACACAACTCTCAACACAAACCAAGCAAAGAAACTTCACCACAACAAAACAAGTATCATCCTTACTTTTACTAGATGTATGTACTCTACTTCAAAGACTTTGTATAACATCTGATTAATTATGCTTGCCCGAGTCCATTTAATAACTTTCTAAATGCTTTAAACCACCTAACCTCTGAAATATCTGTCTTCCCTTTAATTGCCAAGATGTATTTTGTCATTTCTTCGAATATTCTGAAAGCAGGCAGAAGGATGATTGGATTAAACGCCAAAATGTATGGGGGGGCGGGGGAAGGATACATCAAGAGGAACAGAAAAGAAACAGAAAGGAAGTCTGAAATAACCCTCCGGACCCCTCTGGGGGAAGCAGGGCCTGCTGTGGCTACTTGTCCCTGGTCCTGAAACCCTTGACATGGAATGCTGCACAAAAAACCTACCTGAGAAAAAGCAAAAAAGCAATGTCAGTTAGGAAATGGAAACAAAGGTTGAGCTAAGGCTTGAAAAACCAAGCAAATCTTAGGAGATGTTTTTTCAGACCTTCTATTACATTTGTTTGGTTGATTTGTTATGTTTTTCCTTTTTTGGTTTGTTTGGTTGGTTCATTTGCTTGATTTTTTTGGTGTGTGGTTTTTTGTTTTTTGTTTTTTTAAATCTCAACATCTGCAAAGGAAGAGATGCAGTCAGCTTTGTCTTATCAAATTATGCTGGCAATTGTAGCATCACAGCTCTTTCTGGAAACTGGCAAGCAGCTCTAACTGTAGTCCAGCCTGGGTGTTGAGAAGCACAGCAGAAGAGAACAGTACTACTGTTTTTTTCTGTCTTGATCATATGAAGAAAAATTCTTGCACTTATGCCCATTCAAAGATACTGGTGGAGTCTCTTCTATACCCTAGATTTTTTTTATCAAATTATTTTGATTTAGAAATGGCAAATCCTGTGCTGGCTCCAGATTACAAAAAAAAAAAAGCGAGGCACATGGCAATAAATTAATACAATCTTTCCTGTGTATATGAGGTTTTCTTTATCCAAATTTTAGAAGAGGGCGTTTCATATTTCTGGGAAAGTAACAAAAAAGTGCAAAGCTCAAGAACTGTTCACTGTGAGAATCAATCTCCATGAAAAAAAAAAAAAAATCAGCAAAAAGTTATTTCAGTGGTAGCTTTGAACAGTAGTTTTCAGTGGTTTCAATACTGTACAAGAGTACAATAGAAATGTCAATACCAGTAAGGCAAAACTCCTTTAAGCTGTACAAGAACTCTGATATCTCTGCAGAGCTGGCAGCGTTCTTTTGTTTCTTGCTCATTTAAAAGGTGGAAAAGGACTCTACAACCTTTTATAAAACAAACTTATATGGATTTAACTTAAACTCTTGTGGTTAGCTGCATCTTTGTTTTAATGGCTTCTTCACACACTCTCTCTCTCATAACTTTACCTGAAAGAAAGATATGGAATTAAAGAAGAGGTGCTGTATTTGTAGATAGGTCAAAAACCTCATCAGTATCTATCCCAATGACACTTATGCAAGCAGAATGCTTTTCAGCCTTTCTAAAGACTCGTATGTGTGTTCTCCATCCTGTCAGCATCATTGTGAACACTCCCCCAATGAGAAGAGCAAAAGGCCTTGGAGAAGGAAAACAAAGTTCTCTAATGACCAAGAACCTGGTAAGAAAGAGCCAACTTCTGCCGATTTTTAGTCTATAAAACATCCAGGTAGGAAGAGGCATGATCTAAGTCAAAAAGCCTGTAACTGCCACAACAGAGGGAACAAAGGAAGAACAAACACTGTGGTTGATGTAGATACAGAAAGAAAAGTCGTTCATGCTGCTGCAAAAATTCTCACTGAAATATGCTGCAAAGCCTAAGGAATTATCAATAAAAAAATACCATTTCTTAGTAATTTTTTAAGAAGACCTACAGCTATTAAAACACCTTCTCCTTCCCTAATGCAAGGCTCCTACTTGCTGCTGTTAAGAGAAGTAAGGCAGATGTCTTCCATCTCTTGATTTCTTGCTTGTAGTGAAGCATTCAAGCACCCATAAATCCTTCATTCACTTCCTTCACTTCAATTCCACAAATAGAAGAATGAAATGCAGAACTACTGTTTGTTGAATGTTTTGCTGAGATAGTTGAATGTTTCATTTTTACATGAAGAACTTTATCAAAATTAATTTTTAAACCAAGGTACAGAATTCCATTATACATCAAGTAATCAGCAATATAACACATCAACTGCCTATATAATACATTAACTGCCTGCAAGCAATGAACTGCCATCAGGACAGACATTTCAACACAGAATAGAATACATTTTATCATACCAAATCACCAATGCGGTCAACAGGAATATATAATACAAAGAATAACTTCGCACTTTGCAGTTATTTGAAAGTCGACGTAAAATGTGGTATTACTTGGGAGCCTATGACATGACTGCATAGAGTGCAAAACAATGAAGTCATGTCCACTGTATATATTCTGGAGTATTTTTAGTCAACAGACAAGAATTGCTGAGGGAATTAACTCATATAAGCTGTAACATGACTAGTCAATTTTGCAGTTTTCTTACATCTGTTATGACTTACAAAAATGCACCACCTGCGTAATAAACTGTAGAAACTTAGGAGGAAAATTATTTTAAGGCAGAATACCTACCGGTCTGGTTGTACCATATCCAGCAGTTCCTGCGCTTGAAATTCCAGTTAGAGGTGGAGGCTGATTACGAACTGGAACAGATATTAGAGATTGCTGACTTAGAACATATTTCAAAATCAACTTCTTCTTCTATTATAATTAGTACAAAGCATGTATCTGTATTACCTAAGTTATCTTTTCTTTGTGTTCCAGGACTTTTTTGTGCTTTGAAGCATGGAAAAAAAAATTAGATTATCTTTGTTAGATAAGCTACAAACGGGTATTATACGGCAATGGTACATTATCACTAATGGAAATGGGAGCAAAAAGACATTAGTGATTTTTTTTTTTAAAAAAGTTGTTACATATTAAAGTCTATCCATCAGCTAAGCTGTTATTCTAGCACACTCTTATATCCCATGGCACACGTGAAGTAATTTGACCCTTCTAATTACAAATTAAGTCAAATCACCTTCTATTTGTTGCAAGCTAAAGACGCCCACTTGTACAAGTACCCTGTGTTCTCAATTGTGCTAGAAGAAGTTGTTTTCTTTTGTAGTGTATTCTGCAAATATTCTAACAGCAGTCTTTAAAACAAAAAGAACTTATGTAACATGCTGATTCAAAAAATCATGCGATCAGAAGAGTACATCTGTAATTATACATGGTTCAGCAATCCACAGGGTCTACACCGAAGTTCCTGAACCTACTCTCTTTGTTTATAGGATAAATATATTACAGCACCAACCTCAACATTTACATGCTGATGCTAATGACAACCTTGTATACAACATTCAAGTTGTGAAGTGCAAGATATGAAAAAATTACCTTTACCTCAGACAAGTGCACAATTTCTAACAGGCAAAGAGGTTTAGGATTCTGGCTTGTGTTTCTGTTGCCTATTTCCCAGGAAGGTAAAATCACCGTGTCAGTTACAGTAACTGGAAGGAATACTCTGTGGTACATAAGACACTTAGTTTATCATATTGGCTTCCAGTTGTCAGACAACCCTGCTTTCTTAGAACCAGTTAGAGTGAGTTTCTGGGTGTAGTTCTCAGTAATGCAACTCGTACCCTCAGCAACCTGGTGCCAGTTTACCCTACTTTGAGCAGAAGGTTGGACTAGATAACCACCAGAGGTCCCTTCCAACCTAAACTATTCAATGCATATAGTGATTTTGCCAATTTAGAAAAATGAACCAGCAATATAGCCAAAATTAATTGTAGTACATAGGAGGACATCTTGATTGTGACTATAGTAGGACTTTTATTGCCATACCTATATTTGCTACAAAGGGACACATTCCTGAGCGGATAGGAAGAAACTCCAAAACATAACTCTGCTGGCATGGCTAAAACAGGGCCCATTCAGCACTATATGCACATACTCCAACTAGAATAATGCAAGAGAAATACTTCTCATAAATGTATAGCGCATATATTTAGGTATCAGAATCAAAATACCTATACTGTGCTTTTAAGAAAGAGAGAAAATATTAAATTATATTATAGGCTAAATTATTTACCTGGAAGTTTCTCTCCCCAAAATATATGAGCATATGTAGTTCATTATGAAAAATAAGGCTTCCTGGATTCCTGATTTAGTTACAGGTATAGTATTTACTCTAGTAATCAGTCAGCTACAGCTTCCTCCGACAGTCAGCCTTGAAATGGTTCTTCTCAATCAGTGCAGTCTAAGTTTTCATTTAATTTTTCATAAATGAAGACTGCCTTCTGTAACAATTCACACCATCACTGAAAAACAGGAAGCAACTTGGCTGTCTGAAAACTATGTTAAATAAAAGAAGAAGGATCCTACACAATAAATACCTTCATGAAACCACCTGTAGTATCACAATGGCAATAATATTACTCAGGTATTAAATTAGAAATCCGTTTCTAGGATACAAAAATTGTTATGTTACCTTCTACTTCTCTCCTAGCTACCCCAGGACTGGGAGGAGCTCCAAGACCTTTTCAGAGAAAGAAGAGAAGCTGTACATTGCATAAGAAAAGCAGTAGATTGAGAAAGTAAAACCAGAAAGAGCTGCCACAAGACAGCTTTACATAATTTAAAAATGGCTTAGATAGATTATAGTAGGAGATAACTGTTTGTAGCAGCATGGGGAAACCAGACTGATACGAATTAGAGATCAGCAAGTACGATCATGTTTAGAAACATGCTATTATTTCAATTTTACATTACAGTTGAAAGAGAATTTAATTTCTTCAGTATTCACTCTCCAAAAACTTTTGTAAATTCAGAATGATATTAAATGTCAGTCTTGAAACTCTTCTAAAGCGGAGCACATACCTATACTCAAACACTTGAAAATAAACAGGTACATCATTTATACTCTGCAACATTAAGTCTGCTTCCTGTAACTTAGGAGAACACTACGTAGTATGTTTCCGCCAAAATTACATTTGAATAAACAATTTCATGGAAGAAATAAGTTTCCCATTTTATATAATGTATTGTATCCTACAGAGTTGTATCATTAAGTTATCTCCAAGCAGCACGCTGCACTTGGGAAAGCTGAATCAACTGGCGTGCAGTAGATATTACAGTTCAGATTGAGAGAAAGAAGATTTTCAATCATGCATAACCATGCTGAATTATTTTATTTCTGCAATATGATCAAGCATATACTGGGTCCATAAAACTGTATGGTAAAAACATGGCAGGACATAGATAACACTAGACAGTATACAAGGAGAAATCCTTAAGGCATGCGCATAGGAAAAACTAACAGTAATAACTGGCAACTCTGGAGTGGCTCAAGTATAGAAGGAGAAGGAGCCAGCGTTCAAGAAGCCTACCTTAAAAGCAACTTTTGCCTTAGCGATGACACAGCCTCATGCTTTCTCATCATGTGCCAATGTGTTGTATCTGCTCAGGATGAAAGAGTGCTGCGAATTTTGTCAGATACGGGTGGAGGTGTCACTCAGAGTAGGAACAGTGAAGGTTGCAGATGAGGCTGTGATGTGATTATCTCCAGAGATGTCAGATCTCTGGTTTTGCTGAACATCTGGTTCAAAGATGTTAAATACTAGCATATGTTATGTATTCTGGGTGAGTTCCAGGCTCTGCCAATTAACATTAGATTTCCATCACAAAAGTTTCTAACAGTGAACTTCTCTGTGAGAAGCAGCACTGAGGAGGGATGATCAGAGAGCATTTGTAAGGAGGGGGCACAGGAGGAGAGCACTGCCTGAGAACATTTCATTGCTTTCAGGTACTAGCTCTGCCCTTCTCCCATGCAACCCAGAGGAACCCTGGGGGAGAAAATAAAGTGGTAACCCATAGGCTATGAGAAGCCTGCCTGCTAACTGGAGGAAAATAAAGGGAGGTGGAGAGCAGCCCAACAGAGTATAGGATGCTCCTCTGAACCTTCTGTGGTTACAGAAACAAAGTTAACTGTTCATCTCAGAGTATTAATAGAAATGGACACAATAAAACCTCTCCAGGAGCAGGGAACTAGCCCATTCATTTCAGAGATCTTCTGCGCTTCCCCCTCCCAAGCTCAGCTCAGCCCATACTTTCAATAGGTACTTTCAGGATGCTCTTGTTAAACAAATCTTGTTTTATGCAAGACGATTAATAAAGTCAACTCCTTTCAGCAGAAGGAAGGCAGAGAACCTCTTTGACCACAGCACAGAGACATATTCCTATGTTGGTGCATCAAAGACTTCTGTGTATGAGGATGCTAAAAGATTTTGCAAATTTAAAAATATTCATTATATGGGAGTGAAAGGGCATAAAGGTCAAATACTGCAAATTTCACTTACTAATAATACTCTTCAACAGTGACAAAGCAAATTATGGTGCTATGATAACGCCATCACAATTGGCATTATAGGAAGATTTTAATCTTAAGGACAGTGAAAAATGGACATGAAACACATTTTTGGGTATAATTTTAAAATGTTACTGTAGTCTGTATATAGTTTGAAATGTCTATTGCAGTTTGAAACATTATTTTGCAAGTAAAGATATCACATACTAGTTTTAAATAGTATTTTAAGGAAAGGGGTTGGATTTACACAGAACCAACCTGTAATGTATGACCTGACATCTTTTAGACAGAACTGTATGTTTTGCAAAGATTACATTTACACGTTATCTTAATGGAAAATAAAGCAACTCCAACTTCTCATAAAGTAAAATGTGCATATATGAGCACATGTGTGTGTGTGTGTGAATATATATATATTTATGAATTCTAGGCCATTTGCCTACGTTTCAACAATGCATTTACTGTTTTAACATTAAGGCTGCTTCTTTCCCCCATTCCTGAACATTCCTTCTTCAGCAAGAAAAGAAGAAAGGTGCTCCGCCCCATGTTTAAAAAAAACAAAACAAAACCAAAACCAACAAAAAAAGCTTTTACAAAATGACTGCTATGTCCTAATGCACCCAAACAATATGAACTCTGTTCTGGGAAAAAAACCAACAACCTACAGGGGAAAAATAAAGATGTTGAATGGTTCTTGAAAGGCTAAGTTTAATAAGTGACTGTGAGTATCAGTGTACACTAAAGTACTCGCTGCTTGGGTGCACGTATTTTCACAGCTTAACATACTTGCATTTCTTTTAATGTGAACTTTACTACTGTTATTTTCTAGGTTTATTTTATTTATTTGGAGGATAATCACAGTGAAAATGCAATGCATTTTACCCAAATTACTGCATACACTGAAAATACTGTGCATTCTCTCAGTCTTAACCCAATCTTAACCCCATTTTAACAGTTTAAACCAATGACAGAAGACAACTATAAGCCTTTCCTGCATTAATCAGGAAAAGTCTGACTAATATTATTAAAGGAAAAGAAAACCAAACCCAAAACCAAATGTTATTTTTTAACTTCAAGTAATTAACACAATTAGCAGCCTTTATAATTTTTAATGTTCTGTAAGATTTACTTTGTAATATATTAAAAAAAAATCTTGAGTAAACAAAGGGCAACATTTTAATTTTTAACCATAAACTGAGAGCTTATAAAAATCCTCAGTGGAAATCTTTCATATTAGCAGGCAAAAAGTCCACACTTTGCAAACCCCTGCAATGAGTACATAGCCTTGTTTCCTTGAATTCTGAATTACTTCTAATGTAAAATATGACCAAACTCTAAAAAAACCTTAGATGCCCAAATCCTGCTCCCATCTGCAAAGCATACTGAGCCATCAGAAGAAAGGTTATGGGTATTGAAGGAAGTGAAGAACTCAGGAAAAAAGGTTGAAACACATGAGGAAAAAAAAAAAAACAACATTTAAAATGTACAACATTTTAAAGACATAATCAATGTCACTTTGCACGTGCTACAGAAGTCTAAAACCAAAATTTGATACACTTATACAGCACACAGGGATATTTTCACAGTGCTTTAGGAGCTTTCATTCTAGATAAAAGAAACAGAAGCCACTTCCCCAAGCACAGTAACACATTATGGCATTTATACTGTTTCCAGTCCTATGCTAGCTTGCCCAGAGCTGAGCTCAGGAACCACTGAAACCAAAGCATTATGCCTTATAAATGTATGTCATGAGTGGAAAATGAAGAGGATAGAAAAAGTGGGATGAGCTTTAGGTCAGAATAATATATTAAAAAAAAATATATACTACAATCTCTTTCAAAAGATTGCATAAAAAGCAAGTTTTATGCAAGTTGCAATTCTTTATGGAAAGCTATGTTGGGAAAGAGGGTAAAAAAAGAAGGCTAGTCTTTGCACAATTGAGACAAACTAGGCAAACAGGATTGTGTCAGTGCACATAAAGCTATATAGGACTGAAGTAGTACAATTAATTAAATACCACATATATTGCGCGTCATATATAAACTGGCTATTTTCTAAAACCAAGCATTTTAACTATTTTAAAATATTATGCCTTTGGCATAATAATCTCCTCCCCTCAACTGTATCTAAGAGCCATACACATCTCCACCTGATATCAGAATAAGTTAGCTGATATTAATATCTATGTAAAATAGTTTACTTATTTTCTGAGATTGCTCAAAACTTTTGAACTATTCTCTCAAAAAACCTTTCCTACCAACTGAGTGGCAGTGTCTGAAAAGTCATTACGGAAGTATTTCAGAGCTACTAACTATTCTCACCATACCCCGTGTATTAATGAGCTAATTTAAGTCCAAGCAGGACAGCTCAACTATGAAGTGTGTGACAAAGAAGGACAAAGATTAGTTTCAAGAAGAAGCACTTCTGAGAACACGTGAGTCGTTATTATATGCAAAACCAGATCAAGCTGGAAAACAACAAAACTAGCCTGAAGGGTTCATAAGGCTCTCTGTATTATCAAAATGGAAGGAATTAGGGGAGAATTATTTCAGGATTTTTTTACTTTGTAAAGACCTGTAGCTCTCAAGTGCCTTCAAAGTAACAATAAATTATTTTACTAAGTTTGTGTTTCTGAAGTACACGCTAGTTCCAAGAACTATGGAGGGTGTTTCATGTCTCTGGGAAGGGCTTAGGAGCACATTTCAGACTTGGAAACAGAAAATAAACTACCCATACATCAGCATTCAGCTTAGAGACAAATATAGCTCAGTAATTTGGAGCTCTCTGTTAACTGGTGATCATCTGGGGGAACTGGGCCAGACCAGCAGTAGTTTCAACTCGAATAATTAATTAGTGGATAATCACTGCAAGTAGCTACAATCACAATCCATTTTACAATGCTCCTTGTCATAGACTGTGAAGAAAAAAGCTAGCCTTTTCACAATTAAAGACAAGTTTCCGCTTTCACAGAAAAATTAGCTGGGTATATTTTGACCAGGACAAAGTAATAAAAACCTGGAACAACTTTAATCTCTGACTATAATGTACCAACTTCTGGAGAAATATTTTTTCACTAAAAAGTCAGATGTAATTCAGAGAGCGATACAAACCTTGAGAAAGAAATTACACTGACATTATCCATTTTTATACCTTTGAACATCATCATATTAAGATATCACGTACTGTCACAACAGAGCACCATAGTAGTTTGGCTATGTAGTCATATTTGAAAATAATTAAAATCATTACCTCCAAATTCTTTTCTAGCAGGTGCAGGACTCCTACCGCCTTACAGTATTTAAGAAATGAATGCAGCAATAATGAAAAATATCAGTACAGTAAGAGGGAGGAAAAAGAATGAGAAAGTTAAAAATGACAAAGGTCAGTTTGTTACTAACTATGTTGCCCATATGCTTCTGAACATCCAGTTTCTCTTAGTGCTCAATTGTTTACATATTCAGACGATCCAGATCAACTCTACATCAAAAACTTGGACATGATGAAATGCATACATACTGATGCCAAAATTGAAGGAATATAAATCAATGAATGCATGAGATCATTTACCTTTTATTTTAAAAACAAGGATGCTATAAAAATGAAAATGTTGAGTAAACACTGCTGTAGGAAGCCCACATTTTTAAACTGAAAACAAGTTTATAGAAATTTTAAAACTTATTCACTAAGCAAAGACAATAATATTTAAATGGTACTGAAAAATGCTGTTATTTCCCATGGTGTTATCGCTATCAAATGTATCAACTAAACATTTTAGTGAAAAAACGGTATGTTCCATTGAGCCTCAAACCTACGATATAACATGTAGTTTGGGTGTGGACTTCAAAGTCCATCTCACAGTCTTGAAACAAAATATTCCTGACCACCTGACAGACGTCACCACATTACCTGATGGTGGAGGCGGCCTCTGTGGTGGAGTGGGGCGTGCAGGAGGAGCAACGGGGCGAGGTGGCGGAGGGCGCTTAGGCTCCAAGCTCTGAGGAGACTCCTTCTGCTGGGTACCAAGCTGAAATTCAGCTGAAGAATATGACAGAAAAAAACGCAAGAATTAATCACTTGTACATTCTAATCACAGTAAAGCTTTTCTAATAGCAAATTACTTTCACAGAGAGGAGTCAGCCCCTAGCCTTGGAAACAATGACACACAAGTTTTTGAGAGAGGGAAAACAAGAGGAATAAACCAAGAGCGAAAGAAGATTTCCTAAACTAAGATTTTTTTGTCTCATATGCTTTAATCAGTATACGCTTTTAATGGAATCCTGAACATTCTTACAAATTGCAGAGTTCCAAATTTTAATTTTGACCCTCTCTGTGAGCTAAATGCTCTGGAAAAAAATGTCACAAGGGGAATTCTGAAGGTGTTTTAGCAGTCTTTGTAAAGTTACTCCAAATTACATTGAAATAAACTGTTCTAGAAGCCATTCCAAACGCTGTAATTCTAAATGTCCACTTTGTCACTAAAATAAAGTTGTGTTTAAACAGAAGCTTTCATATTATACACTCAATTTACAAATCTACCGATTACAATTTACATATTACAGCTGACAGGAGCATTAATTGAAATGGGCTGTATTTGAAGAATATGACTAAAGTGAACTAGGATTATACTGACATATTGCAACAGAATTTTTGAACAGAGGTTTCAAACTAATCAACTTAGAAAGCCTATTAATCACATAACTTTCTGAGATGTCTCTTTCATGATGAAATGCTAAAGAACTACAGCAAGTTAGTTAGTTTGCAGCAGTGTACATCAGTGGACAGTGTACTAAAGACTCAGGAAACAAAGCTCTTCCACTGCCCATTAGGAAAACCGAGACACAAAGAATGAACTGATTTGCCCAAGGCCACTTATGCGTAAAATGCTAGGTAATGTCAAGAAGAGCCTTTTATATTAATCTAAAAGCTCTATTAAAAATAATCTATAAGCTAGCACTCTACTACTGGGCCACAGAGGTGCCAGAATGTATAGCAGTAGTAGAGGCAGTCGAACAATGTAATACACACTGTGTGTGGAAACAGGTGGTCCAGGAGCTTTTGTTGGTGCTCGGCTCGGTCTCGCTGGGAGTGCAGGTCCATCTGACAGTGTAGGGGATTGACAGGGACTGGAACGTGGTGAAGAGCTTGGGGAGGTTCCAAGACCAGAGCCTGAAGTTGGCTGTAGATGCTGAGGAAGGATTTCCTCCACTTCAGCACTATAGTCATCAATGTCTCCTAAATGGCAAACCCCACCCAAAAAAGAAAAAGCATGTAAAATAAAGGGAACAATAGCTAGTTACTTTAAAAAGTGGAGGAATTATAAACTGATTCTGGGCATGGGATTTTCTGAAAAAAGCCCTCAAGTTCCAAGGAATTGGCTCAACAATTGAAATATGATTCTTGCACCACAAACTTACACATGAAGAACACATATGTATTCAAACGAGTTGAAAATACTCCAAATGCACAATATATATTAGGTAATTATAATAGTGTGGCAACTGTAATGTTGCTTAATCTAAGAAAAAATTAGCTTTTCAAAGAAGACCTTTGCAAAATTATCTCCCTGGTTTCCAGAGATGGCAAGCTTCACTTACCATTCTTCAGAAGGCTCGGCAGGGGATTTTAAGATATCTGTTATTTGTAATACCTTCTGTTTGAAAAGGAACGATGTTTAAAAAAAATGGTTCAACATGGACGTGCCTTTGAAAAGTAAACTGTCAATTTAGAATATTTTCATGTTGATATTCAAAATGCCTGAAATAGACAAGTATCCCATCACAATCCAATAAGACCATAGCAGTCCTTTCTTCCGTAACTTCTAGGCTTCTCTCTCTCTTCAGGTACATGAACCACACATAATGTTCTACAGAAGTTCCAGCTGCAACTCTGCACTGCTCAGCAGTAACAGAGTAACCAGGATGCTAATTAGATATTAGCTCTTGATTTAAGAGTCTTGCAAGATTTGAGATGTCACATTTTAAGGGAATCATACCATCTCACGTAGGATTATTAATAAAAATCAACCAATCATACAGGCATCTAAACTGTTAAAAGTCCTGTTTCCTACCTGCATTGGAAAACAGATGAAGTATCTTATGATACCATGACTAATGCAAATTCCAACTTTTCATACAAGTTTCCCATATCTATACCCTTACTAAAACACATCTTCCTTCATGAAATAACTGTACAAAAACCCATTAGTCTACTCTTTTCAGTATACATAGGTGCCATCTCTTTTCTTGAAACTTTTACAACATAATGTTTGCCACTAAGGAGCCTGGATAGAAATTCAAAGCAAACAAGCCAGTCAAACTTAGAATAAATCAATATAGACACAATGACTACATCTAGAAAGTAAGTCTGTTCAAGAAATGACAAAAAACCTACCCTGTAAAATACATATGGAAATGTAATACACACAGGAAGTATCAGCAGGTAAGATATGTTTGGGGCGTTTTTTTGCCGCTGTTCAAAATACAGCTGTTTTACTTGCCAAGGATATAAGAAGAATATATTTTTAAGCAGAGAAGACAGTAAAGCAGACCTTTCATAAAAATTAATTAACAGATTAAAAACAAGCTGCGACAAAGTACAAAGTATAAAAAAGAAAAAACGCAGAGGCACAAATGCTGCAACAGTGCTATTCAGCAACTTGAGGATTCTGCTAGAAAAGTATGACATGAAAAGATATAAAAACCCTTCAGGGAAAAACCCAAACCGACAAAAATCAGAGAACTGGAAAACAGCAACTCATCAATGCCGAAGATCAGCCTGTTCCAAGGAGCAACAGAGGCTGAAGGTTTCCTTGCCCGACTCATATTTGCCTGCCTGTCAAAGGCTCACCAGGTGCTTCTTGGGGGTGGTAAGCACATCAATGCTTAGCATGGGAGCTCATTAGTCCTATTAATCTATTATGTGTAGTGGCAAAAAAATAATTGCCTTGCACTCTGAAATTGTGTATATCCTGCTTATGAGGTGTCTCCACGAACAGTAAAAGCTGCCTGAATGAAGTGACCCTGAGAGGGAAGGTCACAGGGTACAGTGAGAAGAATAAAGAGAATGTCAGCAAATTAGTAAAACCTAGAGATACAGTGCAAACTGACACTGCTCAACAAGTTGTCAAGATACTGTTGGAAATAACGGGATTTCTAATTTATCTGTTTTAGAAGGGCATAAACTTGTTAAATTAAAGTACTGATATATGCATTAAATTAACCACGTTATTTAGGACTGTAAGCATTTCAAAACGAGGAATACTTTATTTCAACAAACCTTCCATATCATAGTCTGCAGTAACCTCAGCATCTTCACAAAGCAAAGTGGAGCTTGTTGATGAAGGCAGCCCAATATTAATTTTCTCTAGATTCATTTCATTTTCCAGACTTCTGATCCAATCTGGATTTTTCAAGCTTATGTTTATAATCCTTCCTAGTAGCTGAATTGCCAAAAAGGTATGCACAAAACAGAACTTGTTAAGAGTAGGAACATTAAAATTCAGCATTCTAGATCCAAAAACAAAAATAAAAATTACAAAAAATATCACAAATAAGGTTATCAGAATTTCTGGGACTAAACAATGACAGTGACACGTCACAAAAATAATTATGCTTTTCATTTCATTTTAGTAATTAATTATATTTATGTAGTTTAAACTGTTAATTACAACTATTTAATATTTTTCTAAAGAAAAACTAACAACTTGTCTCATAAGATTTTCCTTTTCAGTTAATAGTAAAGCTTCTGGTTTCTTTATAGAGTTAGAAACACTATTCTTTATAAAGAAAACCAGATTTGCTTATAAACTACAGTAATAAAGTCATTTTCAGAGACTGATAGAACAGCAGGCCTTCATTCTGCAAACTGACACATGACAGTGAGCCTCTATCCTACATGGATAAGGACTGTCAGTGAAACTCTCAGCAGATGCAAGAATCCATCTGCAAACATCACATTACAGAATCTATGTCTTAACAGGAACATAGATTAGTAAAAATTTGAACATGAAAATTAAAATTTTTGCAAAGATTAAATACTAGCCCTACAAAAGTCAGAGTTGAAATTTTGACATTTTTAAGTGACTGCAGTACAGGAGTGCTGAATTTTAAATAACTGCAAGCTATAAATACGATAAACCGGTTCATACTACAAACTCAAGGTAAAAACTCTGCTTCTTAAATAATTAAAAAAAAATCCTATTAAAAATCCCTCATTTGATGAAGATGCCTGTCATTATGGGATCTTCATTTCTCTAACACTCCTCCTCCTAAAAAATAAATTAAGTTTGGAACTTCTCTCAGCTGGCTTTTGAAACTTAATATAATGCTATGTGGCTATAAAAAAAAAAAATTAGATGCAACAGGCTAGTATGGAACATGAAAATCTTTTAAGAATTAAAGACAAAACAAAAAACCCAACCCACTCAAGTAGTCTTCAAAAAGTTGGATTTTCTCTTGCTATACAAAAGTTCAGTAATTTTCACATTACCTCAGTACCATTCAAATTCATAACATTCAAAGCAGAGCTTCCTTCCAAAAATGTTACCCACATCTTGTCTTCCACGAACCTGCAAAGTCCATTGCAAACAATAATTAAAATGCTTTATCCTACCTACTAACTTTTGAAGCCTCTTATCTTAAAGGTCTTTCAGTGTTTCATTTGATGGGTAAGAATTATTTTTTTAGTTCATTAAAATATATATAATTGTCTAATAAGCTTTAACTGAATGTATCCTTGCAACAACAAAAAAAAATAAAGCAAAAGAGAACCAGGTCAATATCACACAGCAAAAGCACTGTCCTTGTAGAATTATGTGACTAGAGTTACACATTCAATAGTAATTGTGTGGCTACAGGTTATATATTTGCATTAGGTGTTCCACGTTATTTCACACTATGGACTTGGTACTATGCTTCTAGTCTTCTGAAAAAACAAACCAAAACAACCCCCTCAAAAAACCCAAACAAAATACCACAACACTTATAGTTCAATTAACAGCTTAGTGAAAATGCAACATTCACAGGGATCCTCTCATCTTCAGTTCATTTAAAACTACTAACCTAATTTTAGAATACAAAATTTGTATAAAATTACATAAAATAACAAATTTTAACTCTGATCTCTCACAAAGTCAGTATGATACTCTATCTCAAAAATAAAGAGTATCTGGAAAAATTAAGTCTGAAAACTGAGACACGGGTATGTAAAACTAATTTTCAACTATAAAGACATTAAAGTTGAAATCTAAATATTAAAAATTAAGCAGATCATAACTGAAATGCCTGCTAAGACAGTAACTTTATTCAGGAAATAGGTGGGAACAATGATGAGGAACAGAGATTAAAAGTAAGAAGTCTTTTTAACCTTATAAGTATAACTTCACCATAGCTTGCAAATTTTTGAAGAAGATCATCAATCAAGTTATCATCAAAATAGTTTTCTTCTGCTGAAGAACTTCTGATGGAGACCATTACAGTACCATCAGGTGGTCCTTGCATTGCAATCACCTCCTTATAAACTTTTTGTCTCTCTTCTGCTTCAATTTCAAATATGTCAATGTCAATCAATGCAACCACAGGCCTTAGAAGAAAATACACAAGAAAAGTCTGTAAGCAGAGTATCTGAGCAACAAAATATAAAACATGAATATTAAATCTTCAATGATTAGGAAATAACGTATAAAATAAAACTGGAACCTATGATCAGATGTTTTCAGCTCTGCTCTTCCGTAGTGCAACAAAGTACCAGGATTCCATGTATAAGGGACATTACTCTCATCATGAAAACTAGCATTCAGAAGATCCAGGTCTTCAGCTACATTCAGTATTAATAAAAACAAAAGGGAAAAAACACAGTGATTGCAAGAATATGCTTTAAAAAATAAGCTATTTGTAAAGAGAGAAAAAAGAAAGCAAATGAAAATGAAACGTTTTACAGAAAAAAAAAAAAGCTCCTTTTGAACTACTGAAGTATCAGTAACTGGTATCTGATTCTTGATCCTCCTGCTCAGCATCACTGTATTTATTGCAGACACTATTATAAGCCTTCTGCCTCATATAGAGTCAGAGATAGAAGCTCAGAATCACTGGCACTGTGATTGTCACTGAAGGGATTCTATAAGCCAGTTAAAAGAATATTTTAAACAATTTAAGGAAGCATTCAAACCTGATCGGTCAAAAGGCCATTTTCTTCTTCTCCAAAGAATACGATCTGTCCATGCTGGTGTGCGACATTTTTCACTGGTGTCATAGTCATCAGAAAACAGATCATATTTGTATGTAGGAGCAAAATTTATTTTCCCTTCCAAAAATCCCCTAAAAATCTGTAAGAAACAAAGCAGTTATGTGTCATGCCAGAAGACAGAAACAGATGGGAAACAGCTTGAAACTAATCAGAATTCTCTTTTCTAACAGTGAAAACGCGTATACACATCTCAAAAAAAAAAAAGTCATTTGATAATATGAATCCTCCAAATTTTATCTGCTGAAAACATTCTACATTTGCCACTAAGACTAAATAGTGACCCAGACAGATGCTGTCCACAGCACTTGAATTAGTTGGTTAGTTGCTCACGTGTCAGCAGAAGCTGGGAATTAAAGTTTATATTTTATATACCTATCTGAACATGCAAAGCATTCCCCCAAATTGACACAAGATGCCCCACCAATAAATAGGAGTGGGGGGGGGGAAGAAAGAGTCCCTAATACATTCAATATGAACTGAAAGATAAGATTACTATCACCATTTCTTCTCAAGTGAATAGGAAAATAGAATAAAAAAGAGATATTATGTGAAATTATCTGCCAAGAGTACGATAGTATTTAGAGATACAGTGTCAGTTGAAAGGAAGCAAAAATCCATTAGGTACTTTGCAACATAAACAGATACAGCCAGCTGACGCAAGACCCTGGAAGGCCAAGAAATTTGCTCACTCCTTCAGTGTTTAAACTAGACATAAGCTAAAACCCTTTAGTTAACCAGCTCCAGCCTTGAGTTGCACCTTGTATGGGCAGTTTTACTTCACATCAGAGATCTGTAAAATATAAATCTAACTCAGATCTTATAGTCAAGTCTGCATCAAATGACATGTTAGCCTGCTTTTCTTGTTGGAAATATAAATTGAAGTCCAGTCAATTTAAAAATCAGGGTCACAACATCAATGTCAATGTGAGAAGATCCGCAACTTCTGAGACTATTTATTAATTTCTTTGCCTTCAGTAATTATTTCTTAACCTACATTTACAAAGAAAATTGCTATGTAAAAGCCTTTCCCGAACAGCAAATACATTGGTTAACAGCCACGTGCAATAACCATGGAGCTACCCTTGCTAGCCAGCTGATACCCCCTGCTGCCCACCCAGCCACTTCCAAATAACAGAATACTACCGCAACAGTGCAATACTATCCCTTCTTCTCCCCAGCCAGGAGACTACTTTGAGTCTTTTTCATATTCCGGTAGTTTCCATACATCTTTCCAGCTTTATAACTGCTGTAAGTGTCCCCAAGACCACTACATCTCTCTTGTTTTGCCTGAATTAACAGCCATGCTGTCTGCCCATTTGAACAGATGTCTCTTTTTCTCTAGGAACTGAGCTATTAAAAAAAAAAAAAAATTAAAAATTATTGTCTTCTTCCTCCTGTTCTGGTGCATAAGAAACCAGCACAAATGGAAGAGAACTCAAATTCAGAAAAAACACTGCTTATGATCAAAGGGCTGGCAAGCAGACAAAACTAATAACAGAGGATTGTCTCTCCTTTTACCATCTACAACATTCCCACATAAAGCTGGAAAGACAGGATATAAATCTCCACACAAAATTTGATTCATTACAAATACTCCTTCAATTGCTATGTGCTGCCTCCCAAGAAACCCTAAATCTGAAGTTTTCTTCAGACCTTCTTATTCCATGTTCTTTTTCTTTGTAAGTAAAAAGGCTATCATTTGGACTATTCCTTTCTCCAACAGAATGACAGTGACAGCATTAGACATATTACTGCAGCAATTTAAAGTAAAGAGTAACATTACCAAAAGAACTTCTATAAATTTTTTTTTAATAGCTGCACCTGATAAAAAGAAAAATATTATAATTAGTAAACTCCACACAAAGTTCTAAAAAGATGACAGAGTTTCCTTTTTTTTTCAGAAGAGAAAGAAAAAACTCACTCCTACAGCTAGTCACTGTATTTTTATCACTGCCTCTTCAGGTCAGTTACTATGAAAAAGTTACTAAATGTTTCTATGTCCCACCCTTCCTTACCACTACCTGCTGAGGATATAGATTTACAGAAGCACCGCAGAAAATTGCTAAAGCCAAAACCAAAACGAAAGTATTCTTAAGTGTGGTAATATTTTTAAGATACCTGTCCAGAATTTTTCTGATTGATAAGTTGGTCTCCTGCTATAAGGGAATCCCAGTTCTGTTGTCGTATTAGGTCCTTAACCTCCTCATTTGGAATATCTATTCGATAATTAAAGTCACCACACCAAAAGATATAATCATGGGAAAAGAGCATCCTTCCCTATAAAACAGAAGCACATAATGAAGTTAAAAACAACCAAGTGACAAATTTGCTATTTCCAGGTGCAGAAGTTCAGTTTTTAACTGTAAAATATGCATAATTTCTAGCTCATGAGGACAACTGAAATACATGTTAGTATTTAGTGTTCATGTGGTTAGAACTATGTAGCCAAATGTATGGTATTCACACATATAAAATATCAAAGAAGTAGTAACATTTCTTGTGTAGTTTGCATTTCCAAAGAAACATGAATCATCTGAATTGGATTTTAAAACTTTTCATCTTCCTACTCCTGTTTTAGAAGTCTGCTATAAGATGATGACTGCTATGTGTGTCGCAAAGGAGATTACAAAGGAGAACAAAACACTGTTCTGGGTTCTTGCGGCACAAAGTCCTGACAAACTGCAAATCGAGGACTTTATTATTCAGATTTAATTGAAGACTTTTCAGTTACCTACAATTTTCATGGATAGGGAGAGACAGAAGGGCTCTGTTAGTTTAAACAAAGCGTAGGCTTTAAAGTGAGAACTTTTACTTCCCTCTTTGTTTTGATCTTTCCATTGCCCTTAAGTAAATCAAAGAAGATACACTGGTAGATTAAAACAGCAGCATTTAGGAAACTGTTTCTGGAGACCGTAACAATATAGTACTTTCAAGAAAAACTGAAACATGACCATGGGGACAAATTTAGAAATTAAAAAACCCTGTAAAATAATATGTCGGACTCCTGCACAGTGCCATAGAAACTAACAAAGGAGAGTTTGACTATAAAATTTAAGACAGCTTTAGGTCCCAAGGAAGCATTTTGTTGCACTGATAAAATTATCAAGTATTTATTTGGTGTTTAATAATCCTTTACAAGAATATGGTACAGAACTGTACAATCCAACTTGACAAAAATGAATAAACAAGAAGTTAAAATGAATTAGCAAAGATCATTCTTGTGTGCTGAAAATAGTGCTGTTTCCCATGGATTTTTCTTCTCATAGCTGATTAACTCCAGTGCCTACAGAAGTTCTACCGCATGCCAGGAATCTATAAGGTCTCTTTCCTATGCTAAATCCTTGATGCTTAATGCAAGTGAATTCATGCTTCAACCATCTCCCTCAGTCATTGCACTAGAAAGGTCTATTCTTTCTGCAGTTATCTATTTTAATAAAAATTGTGGGAACTTAACTATCTCTGAGACCTCTAACCCAAGGAAATTTGATTTCCACAGGAATCTGGGGAGGGGGAAAAAATAGACCTTTTGGATGACACTGCTGGAGCTCAAAGGGTTTAACTTCTCATTCATTATGGAATTTGAATACTGTTGCTTACCATTGGAAAACTGAGCTTGCGAGCTATTTCTACGAAGTCTTCATTTCTCTCTTTAACTTGTGATTGCCCTGCAGCAAAATGACTGCAGACAAAGCAAAGACTGGATGTATGAAACAACATCCTAATGGCTACTGCACCTTTATTACCAGTGGCTCCTCCCATGCCAGTCTTTACAGTATCAACAGCAACATCCCTAAAAAGAGTTAAACAGCTATTAAACCTTCAAATACAATGGCATAGAAGTTAACAGCTTTAAGTACATCCGAGTATGACATTATGTTGGTAATAGAACATTTGCACATTGTTCTTTCGGCTATTTAAAAAAAATGCCAACAGCTATTGAGCAGGTAACAATATAACACTTAAGCTTTTCAAGCTTTCTTGGCAACTGATGAGGTATTTAAAAACTAACATAAAAGAATTTAAGCAACTAGTTCCCCAGAAGATGGAACAGCTCTTTTAGAGCCCCAGATGTTTCTTAGTACACTTGTATGTTAGCTTGCAATACAAAGCAAACTGAAGGTGACCCAACTTGGGCACAGCTCTGTATTCACTGACCTGATAAAAGGAGCATGCTGGGGCCTGATGAACACAAAAAGGCAGACGCCCACCAACTGCTCAGAAGCCAGCAGCACATACTTGTAATCTCTTGATATAGTCTTCTGCAGTTCAGCAGCCCAGAGCTTCTGATTGGTTGTGCTAGCAGTGAGATTAAAATGCCAGTTTTAAAATAAATCAAATTAAGCAGGTATCTCAGCTGTTGATCTAGTTGAGTAAACGTCATACGATAACCTTAACTAAACCTTGGGGTAGTAAGCCAAAGCCAAGTTGTGAATGGTGCTCAAATGCCTCCTAGCAGAGACACAGGCTATAGACTGTCAAGACACCATCACTTCAAATTCAGCCTTGTAAAATGCTGCCTCACTTTTCTTAACACCACAGACAATGTTAGGAGCCAGGGCTACCTTTCCTGTATTTCTGAGGCTAGACTAGAAGAGCAAAACCTAAGAATTTTGCTAGGTTGCTACTTCCTAGCATAGAGCTCAGCCAATATTGGAAAACAGAGGTATCCATGGTCTTAAAACAAGAAGAAACTTCCCTGGAGATCTCATAGACGATGGTTTTCAGAGCTAGCACCAGCTATAAATGAAAAATATCAGACCTGGAAACAGCATTAACTAGACATTGTGTGAAATCAGGGGATGACAAACTGCCATTTTGTCCTCAAGACAAAAGCCTGTGCAAAGGTTAAGCGTTACAGATTTTAGATGCTTTTTCCAATGAGTTAAAGTTCGCTAAACAGCAGAAAACATGCAAAACAGGCAGACAAAACAATGGACAAAGTGAATTTGACTCTAGGACTACACATAAAGACTTTATCACTAGTATCACCCACCACTGGCAAAAATATCTTTTCATAACCCACTCCGCTAGGGCTGAGAAACATGAACTCCATGATAATATATACATGCAATACATGTAAGGACAGTGAAAACTGACAGTATGGAAGGAAGCCTTGCTTTATACAGATCAAAATCTGATGCAAGACGCTATATAAAGGCATACCAACAATACATGCTTTTGGAAGGAATTTCACGGGACTCGCTGTTCCCAGCAGTAGGAAGGCACAGAGACTGTAGAACACTATGAGCATTGGAGGTAAATTCCTTCAAAGTGTTAAACGAAGGAAAAAGTTGGGGGACTGTGGAAGGTGCAATCCAAAATATGGTCAAGTACTGACTGTTTGGATCCTTGAGATTACATCATACATGATCTAAAGTGATCACAGCTTTGCTAGGGAAAGCGGAAAGGAAGTCTGCAATCCTGGCACAGAAACTGGCAGAGAGAACTGGAATACCGTCAAAAATTAATCCAGGACTAATCCCAACCATTATAAAACAGGAGAAAAAAAATTTAAATAACATTTTACTCAAAAAATGCGATTATCAACTAAACTAGTACTGTATAGATTGTATCACCTACCTGGCATTCACTATGTTTCCTGCATTTAGCTCCACCATTTCTTCAAATCCAATGGCAAATATGTCTACAGGCTTGCTTTTGTGATCTGCATTTAAATATTAAAAAAGCTATTTGTTGTTTATAACTAACTTAAGAACCAAGATCTCATATATCTATTCTAATGTTTATGATCTAATTATGAAAATCAGAGTTTTCAAGAAAATATCAACAGAATACAAATCCTACCTTGGAATTCATGAATACCAGCTAACTTTGGTGCATCTAGAAGCCAGTCAGTGAGGGTCTGATTTCTAAAGGCAATACTTCGAAACTGCTTCCCCCCGTTGACGTTCCACGTCCCGACGCAGACTCTAATTTTTTTCGGTTTTGCATACTTATAAAAGTTTTCACACATACTCTTTAGCACTTTTACAGATGCTGCAAAAACATTTGAAAAGACATTATTTTTATATAGAATGTTTCTTCAGAACACTTGGCAATGAGATCTATCCCTTAAAAAAATGGCAACAAATCCATGCACAGACATATAAGAAAGTTAAACTGCGAAAGCAAGATGAATGCAGTTTTTCACAAGGGAAAGTACATTTGCAGAGATACAACTTGTCTGGGTAGGATACTGACTGACTGAAAGACAGTAGTAATTTGTTCAGAATAATATATATATAAAAATAATATACAAAAGAAAAATAATTTCTATGTTTTATAAATATCTGTCATTCTTTCACCCTATCTGTGATTCTCTATGGAAACCATTATTTTTCATACATGCCAACACAGATATCTACCTCATTTTCACAGATTACATTTATGAAATCCAATTTCCATTACAAAAACAACTCATAGGTATCTTAATTTCTAGAAGTGTAAAAAAAGACTGATGCAGTACATTTACTAAAATAGATAAGGTACATTATTTTATCACATTAGAGTATGTCTATTTAAGCCACAAGGTCAATTGAATTCCTAAAATTCTGCTTTAGTGAGGAAAGTAGGCTAGGATTCAGAACAATTAAACTCATTTCTCTGTCACATCAGCCTTTCTCTGTGCCTTGTTTCTATCTGCCAGATCGGGGAGAGAGTAATGACCCATCTGTAAAGGGCATTGTGAGAAACAAACAAACAAGATTATTCAATGGTCAGACACTAGAGTTACAGAGATTTTAAAAGTTCCTTCATAAATCAGCTACATAATATACCCATACAGATATATTTCTTAATGCAAATGAACAGATCTGAATATTTTTTAAAATTATGCTCCTTTTTTTCTTTAATCTCAGTGGAATAAAAATTGCAAAACGTGTAAACAGTAGTGTTTGCATTGTACTTTACCTAAGTAATATTAATTTACCTCTTTTGAATACTCCCATGGTTATGAGACTCTGTGAGAATCATATAAACAATATTAGATGAAATTCTTCCCTTCCCTGTGTGCTGTCTTGCAAAGTGGCCAGCTGCTGGGCACAATATTTTCATTCAAATCCCCAAAATAGGATGATTAGTGAGCTCTTGTTGTCTTTTTAGTTATTCTTTTTAAGTTTACCACCTTTAAATTTGCTACAGAATCTTGGGTACTCTATTAAAACAAAAATCAGGGATTCTCTAGCCCTCATGGTTTTGAAACAAACTGGAAACAATAGAAGAAAATAATACATTGTATTTGTTGTTTGTGAACTCTTTCATTGCTGAACAAATCATATATCCATATATGGGCTAATCACATACAAAAACTGATCGGTGTCTCCTTGGGATCATGCTTTCCTTATCATAACCCAGGTAAATGAAGTCAAGAAAACAGCAAGGAGCCAACAGAATGCTTTACACCTTCAGGTGAGAGCCAAATACTGAGTCTTCTTCTGAATATATCTACACACTAGGTAACAGTCAAGTGAAGAAGTCCACCACATGCCAGAAAAGCCTCCAAGGGTCAAGGACAGAAGCTACCCAAGCACCTGGCCACTGAAAAGAAACCAATCCAAGAAATGCCGTAGCCATGATACATACAAGCACCCAAACCATCCAAAGGATTAGCTGAACCCAAGGAACCCAAACCAGAATCACAGACAGCTCTGAAGATCTGCACAGATCAGCCTTCATACTACTCTGAGCAAGTTTTAAAGCAGAGTTTGGACTTTTATTCTCTCCACTTCAGTTCCTTCTTTTTGGTTTCCAAATTTAGCAATTTTCACCTTAATTTTAAATATTTACTCCAAATAATTCATATCTGCTACCAAGCAGCTTTTAAGAAAAGCTGCAAACTTGAATTATTGCCTATTTAACTCCTGACACTGTCATGAACCCCTAATGTGAAAAGTCTTACCAGGATAGAATCTAACTTTAGAAGTGAACTGACAACATGCTCATTAAAAACATGAAATTCATACCTTTAAACTAGCAAGCTTTCTAAATTGTAGAATGACTCTTTTTCTAAATTAGAATAAATAAAAATATAACATGAAATTTTCATCTGTTTTCCAAAATACGGAGTGAGCCAATTGTTCTTCAGAGCCCTTGAGCCTCCCCCATACACTGTTTTCCTACATATTTCTAGCTTTTTATCTTTTCAACAAAATTGTGTCTCACTCTACAACGTTAAAAATCCAACCAATGACATTTTATGTTATTTTGCAGCAAAAATACTTTAACTGCTGTTCCTACTAGGCAGGCAGACATCTGGAAATCAGTTCCACAAAGGGATTATTGATTTATAAATCTTGGTGGGATATTCTGTGCAACTTGATTGAACTATTTTACTACAACATCCAAATTACTGTAGATATGTTTCAATATATGCAATTTGTATCCAGATGAAACCCACAACGAAATGTTACATCAGGAAGTTAAAAAATAGTTAACACATACGACTCTTCATGAGTTACAGGCTAGGCTGATATAGTCTAGATGGTAACACCATAAATGACAATGTGACTGTTTAGTCCAATAAACAACTTTTAACACTGACAAAATGCCAGAAAATCAGTTAATTTCAGGGGTATATTACCGGTGACTCAGATTTCATTATTTAAGTACTTAGTAACAGTTAAGTACATACAGTAAAACACTAATAGAAAAAGCAAAGCTGAGATGAATGTAAAGGGAAAAAACACAGAAAGCTCAAAAATACAGATTACGGTTGAAGTGATTTTCCACAGGAAGAAGAAGAAAAAAAAAAAGCTTTAAACACTTCAGATGTATTCAAACAACAATCTAGCCAACAACAAATCCTCATGCTTTCTTCCAAGAATCCTCCCCTGTCAGTCTTCAGTACTCGGGGCTAGTGGCTGCTACCCGAGCACATAGGCTCAGAGGATACTGTGCACAACTTCGCTGTTCTCTTGAAATGGGAGACTTGTCTTAACAATCATTAAGAGCTTCCTTCTTTCTTTCTTTCTTTCCTCCTCTCCCTTCAAATTCCCAGGTATTAAGAAGTTCCTTTTTTTCTCTCATCCAGAAACTAAGCATCTGATCTGGTTTCACTGAACCTGCTTCCAAGAGGTATCACAATTAACCCTATTAAGGCAATAGCTCAGAAACGGTGGTTTAAATTTTCTCAATGCATAGCAAAATCTGAACATATGAGCATTAGGAATATATTATTTTAAACAATAGCTTCTGGGAACAAGGAGATGAAGCGTTGCACAGCTGACAAGTACTTGCAGCTCTCTTAAAAACACGGAATACGTATATATCGCATCTCCTCAAATCGAGCAGCCTCATGTAAACAGTTTAAGTTACAATAAAAAGGAGAATTTCCACTAAGAATTAGAAAATTTTGAAAACAAAGTTCAAAGGCATTATGTTGCCTATGTTGCTAACTTACAATCACAGAATCATAGAATTGTTATGGTTGGAGGAGACCTCAAAGATCATCAAGTCCAACCGTATACCCGATGCCACCATGCCCGCTGAACCCACTAAACCATATCTTGAAGCGCCACATCTAAACGTTTTTTGAATGCCTCCAGGGACGATGACTCCACCACCTCCCTGGGGAGCCCGTTCCAGTGCCTAACGACTCTAACAGTGACGAAGTTCTTCCCAATGTCCAGCCTGAATCTCCCCTGGCGCAACTTGAGACTGTTTCCTCTTGTCCTATCGCTAGTTACCGGGGAGAAGAGACCAGCCCCCACCTCACTACAACCTCCTTTCAGGTAGTTGTAGAGGGCGACAAGGTCCCCCCTCAGCCTCCTCTTCTCCAGACTAAACACCTAAACACTAAACACCCCCAGCTCCCTCAACGCAGAGTACAAAGGGATGATCACTCCCCTAGTCCTGCTGGCCACACTGTTTCTGATACAGGCCAGGATGCTGTTGGCCGCCTTGGCCACCTGGGCACACTGACGGCTCATGTTCAGCCGGCTGTCGACCAACACCCTCAGGTCTTTTTCTGCCAGGCAGCTTTCCAGTCACTCGTTCATCCCCCAATGATAATAACTAAGAGTTTTCAGAAGCTTCTTAAATTGAAGAGACCTTTCATGCCATTTTCCTCTATCTGGCTCATCCCTGCACATTCTTACTATTACTTATTACTTCTTTATGTTCACAGTATTGCTGAATCCTCCAAAGCCAACCTCTCATATTTTAAGCCCAACATCACAGACATTGGACAAGATATTGCTGCAATATCTCAACGTAGAAGATTAGGAGCTAACTATAAAGTTTCCTCTTCAGGCCTTCTCTTCACCGAGAGTTCTACCTAAACAGACGCTCCAATACTTTCCTTTTGTGTCACGTGCAGATGTAACCACATCTCAGTGGTTTTGACTGTACTTTTGCTCCACAAAACACAACTGTCAGCATGTTATTTCAGACCACTCCAGTACAACATTAACCTTTGCTGGGAGATATTGCAAAATCAGTCCGTCTCATGCAAGAACACAAGCAGGTAGAGCCTTCTAATGGCAAATGAGATCAAGCTACAAATTGTACTGAAGAATTTTACCTCTTATCCTAAACAAAACATTTAGACAAAACAAAAATACAGAAGCTCCCAAACCAGATAAAAAAGCAAGTTCCTCTACAGCTGGAATAAAGCATTTGCAAAAATAAAACCCAAAGAATTTGCTGCCTCTTTTCATAACTCACACCCAAGCACAACCGCAACATTTTTCACCCCTTCTATTTTCACTTTTCTTGTATTAAAGAGCTTTTACTGGATTAAGGGATTTTAGGGCACAG